CGTATTTTAGCATATATTTTCCGCATGAAACGTTAAATAAGAATAGCAAAATAATCAAAAATCTTGATATCGTAGAAGGCGTTCGGAGTGTTAATAACCGTTGCTCATATATTTGGAATATAATTTCGCAAGATCGTTCTGAGCACTTTATACTAAATTAGAACAATTTAAGCGCAACCGTGCATAGCTTCATTTATCTAGTAATAGGGGTCTCTGCGGTTCAAACGCCTCGGCTTAAATATTCACAAATTCAACCTATCGTGCCCCGATTTAGGAATTATGGTTCCGGGGCAACAAATTAAGTTCAAATAGAAATGTTTCTACCCATAAAGATGAAGAACAATTGGCAGATCGGTGTGATCTGGAGTCTGGACTCCAATATTCTTCAGACGACCAACCATCTCATACCTAGATTATTTAAAGCGGGTCAACGACGTCGTGCAGGAGTGAAAGCGTGTCCCGTACAGAATGATGAAATGCAAAGTTTTAATAAAAACAATTAAATGTAAAATCTATGTTTACCCCTATTTGAATAAAAAAAAATATTACGTCCAAACACATAGCGGGTGAGGCCCCAATAAAAATATGCCAAATATACATGAGCAACGGTATACAATAATATACAAGGTAAATATGGGGCAATTTTACGATTATGTAAAATCGTGACCCGCATAAATGATTTTCATGTTCGATTAGGATCAATATACTACTCAAAATTGATGACATTGACAGGAATCGACCCTGAAACGCCAAGACTTTTTACATGGTTCTGTTTTCAACGTGTGACATTACACCCCATCACCTCCCATCAATTTGACAACCAGAGGTCCAATTCTGGATTGCTTATCAAAATTTGTTTATGTTTGGCTATTTGAATAAATTCATCAAAGTCATAAACTTCCGAACTAGTGTAATAAAAGGACCGGAATAAAGATTTAAATCATTCACAGACACGCTGTCCTATAAAGGTTTCCGATTACCAAACGTATCAAGGGGTGTAACGTCAAACCCTTCATACCGCTCGATGTTGCCCTACCAAATAATCTCCGTTGGCCGGTGGTGTGATATAACATATGGATAATGGTCAAAAACGATATCTCATAGCATATAAAACAATATAGAATAACAAATGATTGTTTTCCAATTCCGGAGCGGACACAAGAGCAAATGAACGCATAATTACTCCGACAAAATTCAATCAAAAAATAAATGAGCGAACAAGACACCATTTATTGATCTCCAAGTGCAAATATTTTTCCAGTATCCAAACAATAATGGGAAATCACAGGCTAATTAATACCTGATTGTTTAGTTTTAGGTATCTTTCAAGGAAAGAACGAGTGCTCCTTGGGGTTGTATTTCAAATGAAGGCGTTGGAGCGAAGCAAGAATCGCAAAACCCTTGCACGATTTTGTTGAAGAGATTTTGCCCAAAGTAAAATCTTGAGTTCTCTTGTATTGAAATGAGATTTTAAAATAGTCTAATGTCATTTAAAGTTTTCATGATCAGCATTATTTTTTAGGCTACCAACTTAGTAATGGAATCTTTTTCAGCTGAACTTAGTAATGGAATCTTTTCAAGCTAGAAAAAATATGAAAATAATTTCAATAAATGTGACTTATCCTTACTATCCGTTTCACACAGGCATGTGGACATTTTTATGTTCCAAAAACACATTTAAAGTTTGAATTTGATCACAATAAACATCCCATTGGGGCGAGGGTAAGCACATTCGAATTTATATATCCCCGTGAATAAAATTCCACTGTACACGATTTAATTAAACTTAGTGTCAAAATAATTAGAACTAATCTTAACCCAGATTGATATAACTTTAGTTAATAAATCTGCTTAATGAATTAACTATTGCTTGGTTGAATTGGAAAGTCGATCCCAATTGCTGATTGTATAAACACCAGGGATCAATCCACAGAGGCCAGAACAGACAATTATCGGGCTTTTATTTTTATTATGAAATATCAATTTTCAAATCACTGTAAACATCGGAAAGGCGAAATCAATTATGCCATTAAAACCAATGTTTACTCGTGGTTGTTTTGCCGTATAGTAATTACCGGGGATGGGAACGACAGGTATGTCGCATAAAGTAAATTAATTTTTCGTTTACCTAGTAAATATATCAGATCATACGGGAACGATCGCCTTAAAATATAATTAATGATATTTATAAGTGATCGTGATTGCGCAAAATGATACTAACATCTCTAAAAGTAACCCTTGGAAAAGAAAAAAACAACACTGACTCGTGGCTATAAAGATTTGAATTCCGATAAAATCAAAGAAATTTTTTTTCACGAATTAAATTGATTAACCTGTTTTGGAATATTATTGATGACAATAGTGTGAAATTGAACTCAAATGGTCAAAACCAGGCATGCGACAAGTTTCACCGAAATTACAGAAAAAAATATATATTTAGACTTTAATAGCATTGCCCAAATCTGTATTATATTTTATTTATCTTGATTTTCAATTATATACAAATAAAATTTTAAAAAAATAAAAAGATACTTAGCCTTTGGGCAAGGCTAAGACTTTTAACTAAACTGTAAAATTGTTGCACATATTCCTTTCATCTTTGCCTAGCCGATTTTTGTCTCCGTTATTTTTTCAAAATAAAGGTCATCATGCACCATTGCATCATGATTCTTTATTGAACTCAGGATGTTGAGATTGAAACCTTATCATCTCTTATCATGCCAATCTATCAGTATAAATGTATATTGTTACTAATTAAAGCTTCGTTATTGAGCAACTGATTTTATATTATCGTATTTACATGTCAAGGCAATATCTTTGAAATGCATCCTTCGGACGCTTTTTTCCTTTTTGCCCTTTCTTTGACCTTGAGAAGGTCATTGAAGGTCATATCTTAAATCTAGTCAGATTTGAACTTCTGATAACTTGTAGATAAAAAATTGGTCAAATTGAAACATGTTGAAAAAGACCTTTTTGACCTTTTTTGACCTTGAAATGGTCAAATCTTAAATGTGAAGTCAGATTTGGGAAGTCAGTCTAAACAGTATTTGTTAAGTTATTGGAAGTTTTAAGAATTTGTTACAGACGCCAACCGCCGCCCGTCGATCATCAATCGTCAACCGCCGCCACTAAAAACGGAGACCACAACAATATGTCACCACTTCTTGGTGGTGACATAAAAACAGAGTGGATGATGCCTTGGACGGTGAGATTGGAGAATGCTAAAATGAAACAAACTGGTATAAAGTGCGACATATCAGAGAGACATCTATAATTTGTAGTACAACTAATTATATATAGGCTTGATATATCTTTAAAGTACGCTGGAGCAGGTGACATCTTTAAATTGTATGCTAGTGTAGAAATGTTTTGTCTACAAACTTTAAAGTTTTTTAGAGGTCGAGAAAAATCGTGAGAATGTCAACTCGCGTGATAGATATAAAGGTATGTTCGTGTTCGAGTGTACAGTATTTATTGAGAGGCATTTGGAATATTGGGCCAAATAAAACAAAATAGACAAAAGAGGGCCTAGAAAAGTAAAACAGGGAATTAAAAGAAAATTCTTTATCATGTTTAAACTTCTTATGAAACGATTTGCAACATTTCTCTAAAATTTCTGTCCATTTAATTGTCCATATTTTGAAATTGATGGAGTGTGTGCAAGTTCAACCTTAACAAAAAAAATGTGGATAAAATTTATGAAAATCTCTTCCAAATTCCATAAAACAAATTGCAAATGGAAGTCTTAACATACACACATACTGTACATCATATCCTAATTTATTTCAAAAAATAAACTTTCAAGTAAATACAGTCTGAACATACACATGTCATTTATAATACTGCAGATCAACCGGAGACATATAAACATCTGGATCAACCAATAAACTTTATATTTATTTATTCTTATTTTATTTATTTATTTATTTATCTATGTACATTAATTGAGCTATTATGCTGTTGTAATATCCTTCACTAAAATATATATATAATCTATGTAAATTGAGAATTTACTTAGTCTAGCTACAAGCCCTTGTGCCCCCCCCCCTCCCGGCCACTACAACAAGTGTGAGGTGTGTAGTCAACTAGAGGGGGGAGGGCCACAGAGTTACATGTTACGAGTTACATGTTTCCAGTTGAAATATTTCTTCACATTGAAGTTGATATCTACTGACCATCTATATTTATTTATTTATTTATTTATATGTTTATTATATGAGTCATCAAACAAAACATTTTAGATTGCATTCCACGTTGTTTATCCATATTGATAAATGAAAGCTACCAAAATATTACAATGCAAATAAACACAAGATGTAAAACAACCAAACAAGTATCAAATATGTAATTTTTTACTATTTTGATTGTCATAAGAGTAGAACACAAGAGGAGGTGTCCAAATTTTCTAATAAGGAGAGAGAAATAATTCACTCTGCAATATCAGCCAAAAGTCAATTGACTAAAAATAGAACATACAGAGCAAAAATGTACCATTTTCCAGAAGAGATCAAAATTTTTTCGTAAAGGTGTTATTTATGGGGATCCCACCCCCCTCTGGGCTCTCATCAATTTCACCAGGACTGATCATGAATTGATTCAAAAAGAACATGTACCAGTCCATAAACAATACAAAAAATTAAAATGTTACATACTAAAACTTTGTATTTCGGATGAATTGAAATTTAATCTCTTGCTAGTTTAATTATAAAAACAAATGTCATTTGTATTTTTGTTCTTTTAATTTCATCTTCAAGTTCAAAATAAATGTCCATATACACATATATTTGGACCCCCACTGAATATGTATTTATTTACAAGTTGAGCCGTTGTGTCAGTCAGTGGTGATATCATAAAATGAATATAATCTGAATTATTCCAAATGATTGTCTATCATTCATGAGCTTAATCAAAGGCTTTGCATTTTAGTTAAATAGGCTGTGCCTATGTTTACAAAACTCCCCATATGTTTACTAGGCTGCACCTATGTTTACAAAACTCCCCATATGTTTACTAAGCTGCGCCTATGTTTACAAGACTCCACATATGTTTACTAGGCTGTGCCTATGTTTACAAAACTCCCCATATGTTTACTAGGCTGCACCTATGTTTTCAAATCTCCCCATATGTTTACTAGACTACACCTATGTTTACAAAACTCCCCATATGTTTACTAAGCTGCGCCTATGTTTACAAAACTCCCCATATGTTTACTAGGCTGCACCTATGTTTACAAAACTCCCAATATGTTTACAGGGAAGACTACCCATATATTTACGAGGATGCCCATTTCTTTACTAGGCTGCACCTATATTTACAAGACTCCCCATATGTTTACTATAGGCTGCACCTATGTTTACAAAACTCCCCATATGTTTACTAGGCTGCACCTGTGTTTATAACCCCTTCCTATATTTACAGGGTAGACTGCCCATATGTTTACTAGGCTTCCCATATGTTTACTAGGCTGCTCTTCAGTAGACTAGGCTGCATTTTGACATAATTTATCCCCATTATGATACAATATGAGTGCCACAGACACCATTAAAAATGCAATAATGAAATAACCATTTAGCTGAAGTCCAAATATGAGCATAGAAAGTGTCGTCGTAACAACCATTGCGCTAGCGACAACAAACAGACGTGTGATGTTGTTCCCATGTTTAAAGATTGCTGACATGATAAGACCACATAAAGCCTGCAATAAAAAGAAAAATATGTCAATATATAATATTGCTATATCTAGTTACATGTTTTAAATTCATGATATGAATAAAACCAACAGAAGCAAACTCATTGGTTTGTTGATTTGTTCAACATAAAATAAATATATTTTATGATAATATCATTTTATTTTATTGTCCTGCCTAAAGTCTCCCTTTCCCCTTGTTGCAAAAACCCCTATATAACCCCCCCCCCTCCCCCACTGACTCAGTCAGGTGTACAAACGCCTCACGCAAGACATCTCCCTACATCTTCCATTTGCTGTTAAAGTGTCTTTCATTTTTTATTCTATTCAGCAGCAGTGATTTTTACATTTAATGTGCTGGACTTCCTTCTGGCCTGGATGTATAACTATTAATATCTAAATGTCTTCAAAGAAATATGTCATTTTCACAGGTCTTCATTCGTTCCTCAGAAATATACTCACTGCTAATTAATGTTATTAGTTGTCAGAAAGATGATAAGCATAGAGAAAATTTAATTTTCACCAAATTGACACTTTAAACCTGGTCAATAAATAACGTACCTGCATAATAATACTGATCCACACAAATGTTGAATATCCTTGGAACAGATTAAAACCTAAAATTATAAAAAAAAATATCACATGTGAGTTTTCAACATTTATACATATTATTCATTGCACGTAATTCTGAATATACAAGTACACACCACAGCCTTTTTATTACGAGTAGTGAACCACTCTTTTAAACACCCTGAAATATTTTATGCAACAAGGAAATCGGGGATCGAATCTGGTCCTATTGTGTGATTGGTACAAGCTATACCGCTGAGCTACAAAGGTGGACTTTCCTGAATCTAACGGGCTACTTTATTCAGATTTACCAAAAGTTTTGTCTTACACACTTGGAAAAACAATTACTTTCTCTCGAAGATAGTACATCCTGGATATACTCAAATATTCAAAGTCAGACAATTTATAATATTGATTCTAAATGTAATGATTTATAGATGTCACCTCTGTCATTGTGTACAGCGTCAACAACCCAAGCTCCGCCATTCAACATGATACCAAATGTATACAGCATTATATTCTGCAGATGGATGGAGGTCTGAAAAACACATACCAAATATGTACAAAATCATTCCACTACTTTTCGAGCTATAGTAAAATACATTAACTTCTACCAAAAGTGTCATAAGACAGTGTGCCATGCTTATAGTATTCACATAGAAAATATGAACAAAATCGTTCCACTACTTTTCGAGTTACAGCAAAAATCGTAAAATAGCGAGTAAAGGCCGCCATTTTTCAAGATGTTCTTTAAGATCTACATTTCTAGCTTTATTAATGTCCTATATCATTTTTTACATTTAAAACATATTGCTATTACAGTTTTACATATTGTACCTAAATTACTGTAAAATCGGCACTAAAATTTTGAAATTTTTGCTAATTGTTGCTAAGAGCCTATATGCAAGTTTAAATAGCCCATTTTGTAGCATTTACAATGGAACTTTTGAATACTTTTGAATACCAGTATGGTGTTTAAACTGCTTCTTTATTTGGTACATTAAATATTCCATTCATACCAAATAAAACAAGCAATTTACCAAACTTTTACCAAGTATATTGAATGTTCTTTTTATTTTATCGAATATAATAATCTATACAGTTTATATTCGCTAATTATAAATAGTTTCACTTATTCTTTGTGTTGGCATTTACATTTGATATTTATACCTGTTTTTGTGCGATGCAGCGAATCAATTTGTTTTTGACATATTCGATAAATTTTGTCATTTTTTGTTACTTTACGAGACTTTCAGTCACGTGAGAATGAACAACAGTTACAACGAAAGTTATCGAATATTGCTTTATTGCATTTGGTAAATAGCAAATTAGCTTTCGGTAAAATGCATTAACTATGTTATAGAAAAATGAATCATTTGGTAAGTAAGAAATATATCGCTTAGTGAATAAAATATGTAATTTAATGCACATAGTATTTTATAAGAGATTTAATCCATTGGCTATTTTGAAAACTTGATTTGCTGTAACAAATATATAAATGTTTTTACCGAATAGAAAATTGATTTAGCGAATATAAATATAAATAAAGAAGCAAATAAAATGCCATATACCAGTATATTTCTATTGTCTCTTAAAACATCTGGCAGTCACTAGAACAGCTCAACATGTCAGATGAAATCAACTTTTGTTGAAAGAAAGCATTATTGTCATTTTACAATTTATAGCAAGCAGATAAATTTGAAAAAATATTTGGGTAATTAACAGATGTACAGATGTAGCAGCTAGTCAACAATCGACTTATGCTCATCTCATTCATATTATCTAAACTTTTTAGAATCAGATATTGGGTAAAGCCAATCGCACTTCTGAAAAACAATAGCATATACAGTGTAACCAATTTTTCATGTTCCTTGTGAACAGATGAATTTTCAAGATTTGCTCCATGTTAACATGTAAGTCAATGGAAAAATATTTGATTCTTTTGAAAACTGTTCCTTGTAGAAAGGTGCTCCTTACAGAAAGGTGTTGCATCGAGCAGGCTTTACTGTACCATGGTGGTACTACTGCTAATATACTGGAAATTCTTACTGAGTTCTAATGTTCTATGCCTCAAAATTACATAGATAATCCCAGGATTACCAACCACATATAATATATTTTATTCATATTTGTGACCAATTTTAGTATATATCTTTCCACGTCAAAAAATATTTTTTTAGGAAAATTGGAAATAAAATTTCCAACGTTATTTTCCCATAGAGATTTTTCTTGCCCTATGGATGAAATTAGATAAAGTACTTACCTGATAATTTTTCTTAAGTATATATTCTGAGTAGACACCAGCTAAGCCTGAGAATGTACACTGCACAATTATAAGTACAACACCTATAAATGTTATATGTACTACGCCTGACCCAGCATCTCCAGGTTTACTTTCAAATGATCCCCAGCTGAAAAAGAAAACATTTGACAATAGAACTTTTAGATAAATGCCTCAGTCACATTTGATCTACGGCAACCGTATGGCTTCCCAAAATCGGGAGAAACAATGCACCATACAAATAGGAAAAAGCAGTATGATGTAGATTTTCCATATCGATTTTGAGAAGCTACGCCCACCGTTTGCCGCCATAGAGCAAATGTGACTGAGGCTTAAGTTTAATCTGATGTAAACAAATTGATTAATAAAATATAAATGATTGTGTTGTGGTCCTTAGACAAATGATGCATCGATTGGTCATTGAAACATTTTAGCCTCATTCTGTTCTACAAATTATTTTACTTTTAAAATTCAGACCCAAAATATTTTTTATCTCAAAATTCAGGCCCAAAATATTTTCTCTAAAAAATCAATTCAAGTTGAACACCTTTGTAAGTGAAACACTTCTCGGAGTCCCAAGACCAATTGCCTGCAGGTTGAATATACCTCTGTTAGTTGAACACCTCCTTAGTGGAACACTTCTTAAATGTACCAAAGGTGTTCCACTTAGAGAGGTTTTACTGTATAACAAGATGTAGTAAAAAGGCTGACTAATGTTAAATAAACCTCTCTAACTTAAACACCTCCCGAAAGGTGGAACACTTTTTAGATGTACCAAAGGTGTTCTACTTAGACAGGTTTTACTGTATAACAAGATGTAGTAAAAAGGCTGACTTAAAGGGATATTCCTGGCCAGACCATTTCTATCCTTATATGATAGCTATAATCATATACGTCATATACTTTCCATATTCAGCAAAACACAGGAAAATGTTTTAATATAGTCAGTATTGATTTAGTATCTTTTAACATTTCACTCAGGAAGTGATGTCATTGACTCTCAACTTTCATAACCTTGCCTATAACAGTATAGGAAAGTAGCACAAAATCACTTCTAGACAAGTGGTCCTTACTTTATGTGCAAAAATATTTTCAGAGCTTGTCAACTTAGAATAAAAGAAGAGACTCATAGAAGGATTAAATCATAGACACAATTGAAAAAGAATATTCTATTGATTTTCCTTTCTTTCCTAATGCTATATGCAAAGTTGAGAGTCGATGACATCACTTCCCGGGTGAAATCTTAAAAGATGGCAGCCTACTGGAATTGAGTACTAAATTTTTAAGTGATCAAAATTGACCATATCGAAACATTTTTCCGTGTTTTGCTAAACATGGAAAGTATACATATGGCTATAGCTCCCTTATTAGGGGAGAGATGGTCTGGCAAGGAGTATACCTTTAATGTTAAATAAACCTCTGTAACTTAAACACCTCTCAATAAGTGGAACACTTTTAGATGTATCAAAGGTGTTCCACTTAGACAAGTTTTACTGTATAACAAGATATACTAAAAAAGATTCTTTAAAAGTACATAGAATTAAATCTACCTGTTAGCTACACCAGCAAATGCCAACATAAAAAGTGCCACCCATTGAATGTTACTCACTGGCCTGAAACAAATAATAATGTACAAAAACAAGTCAAACAGTTAACATACAGTATCATAATTTGAAATAAAAATGCATGTACCTTAAATGAAAATAACTTAAAATTTACCCAACTAGCCCAAATTCCATCCACTTGTGAATATCTAATTAAATTATCCACTGCACTCAAACCAATTTCTCAAAACGCAAAGGATTATCTCCTATTTTAATTCTAATTTTGCGGTACATTTCCCTTTTTATGAAGTTCAATCGATGAAAAAAATATTTTCATTCCTTCAATTAAATTTTAACTTCCTTATTAATCAATACAATAACTTCCTAAAATTAAGGTGTCCCAAACCAATTGTCACCATGGAGATAGATGCTGATGTCATAGTAAGACAACAATGGACTTTAAGAATTCCTAACTTTAAAAAGCTTATGTCCAAATAATAACCCCAGGGCCCAGATACTTAAATTCTTTTTTTGAATTAAATTAAAAAATGAATCAAATAGCTCATTTCAATAAGTTTTTATTTCAATAAGTTTTTATTTAATATGTTATGATGGCTGTATAACTATATTTTAAATGTAGTCTAGATGTAGTTAAAATTAATTTCTGTTACATGGCAACATATGTCATTAGGCGTCTAATGGCTTGAATTTATATTGCATATTATATAAGAAATTAAATCGATTAAATAAATCGAATTGAAAGGTGCAGAATAGTAAAAGTGAATATTGTATAATATATTATTTTATTGACTCTTATATATGTCAGTCTCTCTGACACCTCATAGGTCACGTTGTCTACGAATTACTATTGTTTTTTCATCATCGAAATATTTCAAATGACATTTCAGAACTAAAAATGCAGATACAGTAAAACCTGTCTAATCCGAACACCCACGCGACCAGCCAAAAGCGTTCAAATTGGCAGGTGTTCAAATTTCGAGGATTTTGTTGGGGGGGGGGATTTTCATTGTTCAGTCCGCTATATTGAACACTTAATACTAAGTCAGAAAACAATAAATGTTGTTGATGAGTTAATTCTACAATAGTCATATAGCCTATATGCTATGTTTTATTTAAATTTTGAACAATATCATCGTTTTAGTAAAATAACTCTTTGTAAAAACTTTGTAATACACTTTAAAAGTATATGATAGTCTCGAATGAAATCTTATGCTTATCAAATGACTTATCCCATATTATGGTAATATAGCACTGCTTTACTTTTGCTTGAAAAAGTCCTTCATTGTTGTTTGTTTCTTGGCATTTTTAGCATTAGCAATATTTGAGTAGATATCCTCTTCAAGTAAAAAAAAATTTTCATGAGTGTTCATTCGAGATGATGTATAATCCTTCAAAATATCAAGGGCATTCAGGATGTCAGATGTATGCCTTTTAGGAGATATTTTAGTGATAGGATATTACAAAGTTGAATTTTTTTCTCTTTCTTGTGATATAATCTTGTCTGCAAATGTCGTTTGTGTTGTCCTTGTGATTATAAAACATTTGCTGATTGAATCTTAGCTATCATAACAGACCCATGGGATATTAAACAGTCAAGACCTGTCCATAATCCAAATCAAAAACATCCAGTTAATTTACAATAAGGATAAACCAATTATCTCCCAGATTCTCACCTTTCTCTTAATCAAAAGCAAAAACATTCAGTTCTTTTCTAAATCTTGTCTGCAAATGTCGTCTGTGTTGTCCTTGTGATTATAAAACATTTGCTGATTGAATCTTAGCTATCATAACAGACCCATGGGATATAAAACAGTCAAGACCTGTTCATAATCCAAATCAAAAACATCCAGTTAATTTACAATAAGGATAAACCAATTAACTCCTGTATTCACACCTTTCCAAAACATCCTGTTGTTTTCCACAAATTAGGGATGTCACTGAGACTAAATAAGTTAGTTAGGACAATATTGGTTCTTTGATTACATTGTATATGTGAAGATAAATAACAACTATAACATTGACTCAATATTTGTCTATAATTGAAATGTCCAGACATTTGATTTCTGATAAAAATGTTCAGATTAGACAGGTCACTTTTTCAAATCTGGTTGTTCACTGTTCAAATTAGGAGGTGTTCAGATTTCAAGTTTTTTTTAACATGGGAGTCAATGGGAGGAAAAAATGGGACCGAAAAAAGTGTTCAAATTGGAAGGTGTTCGGATTAGCCAGGTGTTCAGATATACAGGTTTTACTGTACATAAATTCTAGGTTATTACTGACATTTTAGAACTAGAAATGAAAATACAAAACTTCTAGGTTATTACTGACATTTTAGAACTAGAAATATAATACAAAACTTCTAGCTTTTGAAGAATAGGATCAAATCAAAAAGTCACTGTCCCTTGGTGGGAATTGAACCCACAACCTCAGGATGAGATAGGTAAGGCCATTGCCTCGCCTGCCTCATCCCTGGCTATACACATGCTACCCCCCCCCCCCCTTCCATTTGACCACTTACTTCTTTATGATGAGCCTGTATAACACAGCAGTTGATAAAATCTTCATATTACTGAGCACCTGGAATATAAACACTGTATAAAACAAAACAATTCCTATCAGGTCTTAGGGAAGGCCATGCCTAATGCATCATAGTTTCTAGTTTTCTATGGAAAAGAAGGTGTACCAGGTATATTGATCCTGATGAGAAAATGGGAAATTCCTCCAATGATGATCCCACCAGAGGTGATGGGAGCTCCCTTAACGAAAGATGGAATCTCCTTCCAAGGGTAAATGCTTCTTCAGCGAAATAATGGTGAAATATTCAGGACTGGTATATTCCTTATTTTATTTCACTAACAAACAATCAACAATACAAACAAGCAAACAAACAAACAAACAAACCTGGAATGTTGCTGGGTCCATGTGAAGTTGCATGACGGCTGCAATATTATTGTTGATTGCATATATGATCGCAGGGACAGAAAACGCAAGAGCGTAACCAATAGTAACACTGGGAAAGCCATTTTCTCTTACTTCAGGCAGAAACATGGTCATTGAGATGCATATCTAAAAAATATAATTGTAATAATACAATGCCTTTAATTACAGTCTATTGTGTGTATTGATTTTAATAAGTTTTTAGATCCTTCAAATGGCTATAGGATTATTCATGTTAAGAAATTATTTACTAGACTCGATGATTTATGGCACAATAAGTATGACCGAAAACTCTATTCTGTTCTTTGTTATAGACCGAAATCACAAAGAGATTGAGGTATTTTGCAATGGCCAGAATAAAATCCAATCCACATATTTTCCATAAATCAATAAATTTTCGATTAAGTTTTTGTTACCACTCATATGTGATAAAAAACAAGAAAAATAACTATTTGCATTCATGAAATCTAGCAGTCATACACAATTATAGACCAGTATGTCAATTGTTCTGTGATGTCACGTATCATATTTGGATAACAATTAAAGATTTTAAAAAACATTTAATTGTAGCAAAAGTCTAATCAATAGTCAAGAGATTATTGATGTATTACCAATATAGCCTAATAGGAAAAACATTTGGGTTAATTTACCTTTGGTTACTTGCAGGCCATTAGCCAGGGGTGTTAAAGGGGTGAGAATGACCCCCCCCCCTCCCTTATCGAAATTTTTTCACAATTCTTGATTGATTATGAGCCAAAATGGTCAAATGAGAACCAAGAATTACATATATGGTACAATATATCCTAACAGCTTTCAACAACAAAGCATACAATCAAAAACTCCTTCTAGTTTTACACATAATTTATGAGAAATTAGAATTGCTTTGCAAACAAATTCAATGGGAACCAATTGCTAGTTACTCTCCACATTTTTTGATATAGAACTTTTTTCAATCCACATTTCTCAATGGTCAATATGCATCGATTTATTTGATGCATCATTCAGTTATTTTTGCAGTATAAATTCATTAAAAACAACTTTCATTGAATGCACTGGCACAGTGTCCACCAAACAAAACCAAAAACCCATAAAGTATTCTTTAGAACATGCGCAGTCCTTTAAGTACATTTAGTCTGATCAGGTGGTATATCGTAAACAAGTCTGTTTTAGAAGGTGTGTATGTTAACTCCCTTTCTTGACAAAGGATCCAACTTTTTTATAGTCAATTAAAAGTTCAATCTAAAGACAAGTGCTCAGGCGTGGTAATATCGTTTGACCTTCGCTTATATAATTTATCTTCTAAATGCCAGTGCATTAACCCAGAACTTATTTTGCAACTTTTTTTCATTTTAGAATTTTGAAAAGTAGTTGTTTTTATGTTAAAGCAACAAAATGATTTAGTCTTGCAATGTTTTGAGTTATTATGTATATCTTTTTTAAGCAACTGACAAGGGTTCTATTAATTATGAGCATTAACAATGATAATAAATCAATTTGTCATTAACATTTTGAAATGTTGATTTTAAATTCCAATTTTTCCAACATGTAAACATATACAAGGGGCGATCCATATATTCTGATAAAAATGCTCTCATTTTGTGATTTTTTCACATATCCCTTTCATTTCTTCAGAACATGTAGATTATGTAATTACACATACGATGCTAAAATATTTTAGCTGTATCTTAAATTAATTTTGAAATAAGGTTGCCATGGTAACCTGTATTTAGGGTAGGCAGGTCAGTTAAATTATAACATCTAAAATAGATAAATATGTTAATTTAATCATTCCTCGGTACCTATTTTAAGCAGATCAAACGCATCTTCCAGTCATTGTCAACCATTCATTGATCTGTTCCATACCCCTGTTGCCCTTATTTGATAATTTATAGAGTGGCATAGCTATCTATTCATAAGTAACATCTCAATTTATCGTAGTGTTATTCTCTGTCCGCAAGCTCTTCTTACAACCAGATTACAGATGATCTTCAACAGTGACCATGCTTTCCTCTTTACAATACTACCTATATATTCTTTATGCAGATATAACACCTTGCCCATGCACTTTATGAGTCCATGTATGTCTCTGAAAGTGTCCTCTTACTTATTCTTGAAAGAAAATCAAATCTAATGGTATTCCCTAATGTATCCGTTAATGTGACACTCTGCATCAGCCACATTAACCTAATCTGACAATTTGATTTTTGGTGTGTCTCATAACATGTTATGTCAATTGGCCCATTCTGTCCTACAATTCTATTGTGATTTGTTGTGATGTTATAGTGAGCACATATAAACATTTGTTTAGCAACAAACAACGAGTAACAAAACCAAACTTTTTTAGAAAAATGCATGATTTCCGCAAGCTTTAAAATAATTAAAATAACAAGTTATTTTGATATTTATATGCTATAATTAAATTGACCTGCCTACCCTTAATACAGGTTACCATGGCAGCCTTATCTCATTGATAATTTAAGATATAGCTATAATATCTTAGCATTGTATGTGTAATTACATAATCTATATTTTCTGAAAAAATGAGAGGGATATGTGAAAAAATCACAAAATGAGAGCATTTTTATCAGAATATATGGATCGCCCCTTGTATAGTTGATTTCAAATTATGTGAAGATACAAGATAGCATAGCAAATATCCAACCCCAAAATCAACATTAAATCAATTTTAGCTGAATATTGTCCTATATCAGCAAATCAGCACCTTTGAGGACCAATCAGTTAGATTGAATGAAAGGTGACTTGCCACAATACTATAAACTGTACCATATCATTATTACCTTAGCAGTTTTAGTTCATCAGAATGTGGAATGGTTTAATGCAGTCAACTAATAATATACGACTTACAGTGCCATAGTAGTTTTACTTTTGCACTCAGTCAACCAAAATGAGGGATGTGTTCATGCATTTGTGCCACAGTAATACATCTATTACCCTTGCACTCAGTCAACCAAAATGAGGGATGTGTTCATGCATTTGTGCCACAGTAATACATGTATTACCTTTGCACTCAGTCAACTAGAATGAGGGGTGGCTTGGCGCAGTACTTTAAATTGTGCCATACATTATTGCCCCCCTCCCCTCATTATTATTACCTTAGCAGTCTCAGTCATGAGAACCATGGATGCCGTGCTGAATGGTAGTTTGCCATCAACTTTACACAAATGAATCAATATACTGTAAGAGCCATACATCAGCACCCTGAAATAAAATGCAATAGGGAACACTAGTCATTTTGATACGCATTGTGCTTTCTGTAATGCAAACACAAGATGCTCAGATACAATGGTTATGAATCATAATATCTACATAGGCTTATTTTAAAATGTCTTATTCAAAATTCATGGCCTATTTCTGGATATTTCTGGACATTTCTGGTGATATTTATTATAACATTTTGATGAAGGCCTATTAAATAAATAATATAACTGGTATAAGAGGGCAGGATGACAAATCAATTTTGCAATCAAGAAATATGTTTTAACAACAAATCAAAACCATTTTGATAGACCTTACCCAACTAATAGCAAGAGTCTCCAAACTATGGGATTGAATGGTCTCTTCTGCTCCTCTGGAGTGGTGGCATGTTTGCTACCTAGCTCCAGATTGCTCCCTTCACCCATGTTGCTCCTGAAGGAGAACTCTCTCTCTCAATGAAGGCTCCCTTGAGTCTTAATCGTCACAATGTCAATTCAGTTCCGCTCTGATGTGTTGGTACGAACACTATAAAAACATTTATTTGGCATGTATCAATAATATGCATGTTAATTGATAATACAACTCCCATATGTTGTGTTATACCTAATGCCCCTTTATTATATGTAGATAATTATAGTTGTTGGCAAAGAAGTACAATATACATATGTATTATATATTACCATCAAAGTTCAATGCATCCATCTGAATCAGTTATTACTGACCTGACTGTGTAACCCTTTCCTGCCCTCTGTGGAACATTTACTAATTATTATTTTATTTAAAGTTCAGGTGATACAATATTTGGAATAAAACACCTTCTAGGCAATTGGGGATATTGTCACAAAAAAGCCTAAAAATAACTAAAATAAACCCTGTGTTATACAACTGATTTTGGTTAGGGAGTTGACAGTGGGAAAACCAGAGACTTATGAAAGCTTAAGCCACATGGATTATTGTCGACCTCTCTCATCATATTTCTACCACATTGCAAATTCTTTAAGTGGTTTAATCTCCTATTCTGACCTTGAAATCCCTAACATTTTTGTTCTTAAGTGTCTTGCTACCACTTTAATAACTGGGTAAAATATGAAATGTAAAATCATTAAAACCATTGAAACCAAACATAAATATTATTTATTGAAATGATCGTCACGAAACATCAACCCCGTTTTGAGTCATCATAACATTGTACTTTTAGTTCATACATACAAGAATCATGTCTCAAGGATTATTTTTTGAAAACAAATACTAAATAAAATAGAGAACAATTTTTTATATTATTCTAGCTTATTGTGTGTCTAAGGGCAATGACTTAGAAATCATTAAAAGTAGGCTAGTCAATGGGTAAAAAGAGGAGTGAAAAATCCCATATCAAAAACAAATTATTAGGCTAAATCACTCCTTATTTGGAATGTTTCATGATTAACGTTCACCTGAGGCAAAAACCCAAATTTTCAGATTTTTATAGTAATGCTAAATGTAAAATTGTTATTCTTTATTGTCAATCTATATATAAGTGCCTTTCAAAAATGAAAAACATCGTTGACCTCTGCAGCATTACACTTTAAAAATTAACCATGTACTAAATGTTATTTACTCATGGAGACTTTTTTTGATGGATGACTATTTCACCCTCGGTCATAAATCCATTCAAACCCATCAATTCAAACCAAGAAAATCAAGCAGAAAAAACATGTTTTAATGGTCAATACCACCTCGTTTCATCAAGCTCTGGACCTGTCCTACATGACTGAGCGTGGGAACCGACAATTGGTCAATATTAAAAGATATGTATGCATATAAAACTGGGTCAACAATAGCGTCAGAGAAAATGGCCATATATAAAAAATTGTCATTCTAGAGAAGAATATAATGAATATATCTTTTAAGAAGCAAAGTCAAATAAATGCAAAAAAGTGTATTAGATGGAGAGGCGATTAATTCTACATTATAGTTATCATCTTTAACATATAGCTCTTACATATATCCAGTGTATTACAGTAATTACAAGAGGAGGAATATCCCAGAATTCATAGATGAGCCTATCTCCATGAAAGACGATCCTCCATAGGTTCACCTATGTATTCTGGGATATACCCTCCACTTAGTGATTACAGATGAGGCTCGAGTTACCTGGAGACACCGTGAATATATTCTCTTGGTATTTAACAATTATGTGAACTGCAAAACAAGGAAATGCTTGATAAGAATCTATGAGATTCAGGTAGTGAAGATTCCGCTCAAATATAAATAAAAATGCAAATAAATTGAATCGTTTGATTAAACTTTAGAAAATAGGAGGTATAAGAAGATGGAGATGGATATTTTAAGAATGGGTTACCATCATTTCATTAGGAGCAGACAATCAATAAACACAAATTACGTTTCAGGTTCTCGCATGTCTCATTCTTTAACTACTGTACTTTACATATTATCAGTTCCATATATCTTTCTACACACCCCATTACCAATAAAGATATTAGTTAGTCACACAATAGTTTAGTCTAACCTTAACCGGCAGTAAATGTCAAAATTAAGGGCTTTTGATAAAAGAAAATACTATTATGGTCAATTCAATTTTTTAGAGTGTCTACATATTGCTTTATCAAATACTTGTCAAAATAAACTGTTCTACTGCAGTTCTAGAAATTAATCAATTGACCAACATAAAAACATCCCTTTTGTTGCAATGATGCTCAATATTTTCTAGCTTTGTGGCAAGGCCCTATACATTAAATTATTTATGAAGAATAATATGAATGCAATGTAATATTCAACAATGCCATTAAAGAACATTGAAATTCCATTTCTTTTCATATTTCTGTTTCCCTAGATACAAGTACATTCTCCAATATTATCCTACACTTAGTGTACTAAATGTATAATAACATTAAAAAATAAATTTGATATTTATTAGCAAAATGAATAATCGGAGGATATTGTGATGATATACTCCGGGCGGAGGATATCGTGACGATATACTCCGGAAAACCCAATATGTGGAGGATATTGTGACGATATACTCTGCTTGTTGATTTCCCGCCAAATTGACTCTATTTGGCATGAAATTCATTTTGCAATGATATTATACATTTAGTACACTCCTTGTAAGTGTAGGATAATAAGAACATCCTATGATTTTTTTTCAGAATATCATTTTAATCTACTCGGTGATATTGATATATGCACTCGCTCGCTTTGCTCTCTCGTGCAGATATCAATATCGCCTCGTAGATAAAAACGATATTCCTCAAAATCATAGGATATCCTATAAATATGAGACAATAATACTTCATATCAGCTTATTTGAGCTTATTTGAAGGGAAGAGTAACAACTCTCATTTTATAGTGTGATGGTTATCATGTAATTGCTGCCCTTATGTAGGGAAGGTATATTATCAGATTTATAGTATAACTTCTCACCACCTGCCATAGGGTACATTAGACAGTGGTGTCTAATCTTGAAGGACAAGGCATTATATTCTCAAGTCCTTGTTTAAAAACAAACATTGAGGGTCTCAAACTTACTTTTTAACTGAACTAGATCAAGTAGTCAATGTGGTCAATCTACCAAAAATACAATAGGACACAAATTTTTCTTAATCCATTTATTAAACTTTCTTATCATATAATTTTCCAACAACTTGCTATATAAACCTTTATATATATATCAACAACAACATGTTTTCCACAAACATTGATGCAGCGAACAACCCCAAAAAAATATATTTTGTATTTTATGTACAATTTTTGTTAATATTGATGCACCCCTTAAAGTGATACGTCTATACTGCTATATATAGATATAGGAGATTCAGGATATAGGAATTATCCAGGGGTAGGTAGATATACATGTATCAGATTCCCTATTACAAACCAACACTATATCACCTAGTACCTCTATATATGACATAACAAATCACCTTTCATATGTTATTGCTCTTGGGAGTATTATGCAAAGACAGAATAAACAAGTGTTAGATGCTAAACTATAAAAATAGTAATTTCATAAACTGTCAGAAGAATGCTCGTTCTGTTTTTTCATCCTTGGTTCAAGGGTATTTCACTTCTTTACTTTGCTGTACAGTATAGCAGTGAAGCCCGATCTTGAAGAAAGTGTTTTAACAATATACTGTTTTTGGATCTATTATACAGAGAGTGGGCCAAAAAGTCCATATTTTTTATTCGAAGATTTTTTTCAATTTTGTTTTATATTATGCTTTTTCTACTAATATTCCCAGTATATTGCACCAGAAGTATTGCCCTACATCAGAGTTTCTATGAATTTTCTTGCATAAAAAGCATGCAACAATGAGTTTTTGCTAGTACATTTGTAATTAGCAAGTTTTGGTTCTTATTAGATTGATACACCTTTAAAGGCCACAAAGATGACAGGGCCTTTAAAGGACAAAATGGCCTTAAAGGACCAGGATGACAAACACTGAACAGTAAAGCATGCTAGAGAAATCTCTGTATGCCTAATCTGGCATTAAGCCATAACACAGTCTTACATATAAATTGTCTTATACTATAAATGGAATATTGGTGTCAATTTTGACGTCCAATTCATCAACACTATGTATCTGCAGTTTATATTCAGTCATATACAATTGATATCACAAAGTCTTAATCTGGAATGCTTTTATTTGGAATGTTAAGTCATAAATTGTCATGGAATGTCATTTGGAGAGACAAAGCTGTGAAATTACTCCGTACTCAGACGTATAGTTGCTCCGCCATCAACTACAAGAGATTGACCAATTACAAAAGAGGAATGCCTCCCGTCAGCTAAGAAATAAATTGCCTCAGCAATCTCAGATGGCTGACCAATTCTATTCACGACGTGCTTGCTGCCAAGTGATGATATTAACTGATAGATGTCGCCACCAGCGACGTGACCACGACTGAGGCCACTGCGCAACATTCCGGTGTCTGTTGCTCCTGGAAGGACGGCATTCACACGGATGCTATCACGAGCATATTCCAGAGACATGGCGCGCGTGAGAACAGACACAGCTCCTTTTGAAGTGGCATATGAAACAATACTTTCCGATGTTTGGTGTGCGTGAACTGAAGAAACATTGACGATGGAACCGCTGGATTTCTGCAGCATGTCGTGTGCGTATTTGCTAAGGAGGAACATTGCTCTTGCGTTCACATTCATGGTACGATCCCAATCTTCGCATTCTGTGTCAACCACCTTTTTGCAGATCTGTATAGCTGCATTATTCACCAAGCAATCAAGTCGTGTCTCAGTCGTCATCACGCTAGCTATTGCAGCCTGGCAATTTTCGGGTTTAGATATGTCAGTTTGGATAAAACGGTCCACATATGGCTGCTCGATATGTTTGATATCCATCCCGACCACGTACCATCCTTCTTGTTTGAATTTCATAGCAACGGCTGTTCCAATCCCTCCCCCTACACCAGTGATAAGAACAACACGCCCTTCCATTGACTGATCATTTCGCATTTTCACCAGCAATCCAGCTTTTATGAAATCATCTTCCCAATCGATATCTGTACTCTCAATGTCGGACATTTTGATCATCATAGGCTTGGCTCCAATACGATGCTTGTGTTCTAGAAGACTGGCCTTGCTGAAGATATAGATACATGAGTTTTCTTCGTAGATTGGGTCCAGATCTTGGGTGGGTATCAATTCTTTAGGGTTATGATTCATAGCGCCACCATCCTTATTATACAGGCGTGTATGGTGAGTCATCACGGAAAAAGCGGAATCATATCCCTCGTCATTATTCATAAACCGTTCCAGAGCGTCATCAATGGTTTTCACTGTGATCAAAGGATTCGTCACATGCGTCTGCAGGTAGTAATCAGCATCGTAATCATTCTTCGTTATGACGTTCATCAATAAGGCATTTGTGGGAACATCATCACCCTGTAGCTCCTTTGGACGTGGGTAGACCGTTACGTTGTTCTGGAAGTATTGTTCCAGCCCTTCAATAATCAGAGGAGAGTCGGTATCCACGACAACCTGGTTAATATGTTTACAGTCAAGCAGTGTCCTTATGACATAATAGTACAGAGGCTTTCCCTCAAGAACTCTGTAGTTCTTTCCTGGAACTCTGCTCGAGTGGTGTTTAATCGGGACTATTGCGCACACCTTCATGATTACACGTATAAATGGTGGTTGCTAATGTATAGATGGTGGTTGCTAATGTATAGATGGTGGTTGCCAACGTACAGATGGTGGTTGCTATGTGATAGTAGTAACTACTAAAGGCAGCTCTGAAAGTAGAGAAAAACCAAATATTAGCTGTGCTTCTACATTTTCAATATGAACTTTAGCGTTCTATACTTATATTTACAATTGTTTATACAACTTTGAGACTGAATCATTCCCTAGCCATTATATTTGGTATTTCCTCTACTTTACAGAATGTACTATTATAATACTTTACAGAAAGTTCTTTGACCTGCTTGAAAGAAGCAAAAATGCTATAATTTCATCAAAACATTTTTCAATTCTAATCGTGGGAAATACATGTCTACAAAACAAATTAAATTCCAATTTCTTTAGAAGTTGTTTACTCAATGTAAAAATCTAAATAAAACAAGTGGTTTAGAATGTATACTTCACAAAAGAATTTAAAATTGCTTAAAATTGTTTTAAAATTGCAAAAAACGTGTATAAAGACTCCATACGGTGTAAGTCTTTCAAAAATTTGAATGACGTATGTGACACATATAATTTGACCCTAACATTCTACAGCTGACAAACAAATATACAGTGAAACCTATACATGTATATCCAAACACCTCTCAATGTGAATACTTTTTCTCAGTCCCACATTAATTATCTCCTATTGACTTACAAAATTACATGTATATAAAACCTTGAAATGTGAACACCTGCTAAAACAAACACTTTTGGACAGATTTTATTGCATTTACAGATGAAATTCTCTCCAATAGCTTTAGTGACTTTTTTTTAATTGACAAAGGTGTATAACTGTTGTATATTATTTTACTAAGGTAAAACGTATGTTATATTGCTTCCCTAGATAAGTGACATGTTCACATCTATGCACATGCTACAAAGGTATTTACAACAAGGCATTAACATGCAAAATGTCACCACATGCCATTTGTTACAAACATCAAACACCAACTGCTACCTTTAGAACACCCTCCACAACAAAGGTTGGATACTATAACAATTTGTCAAGTGACATAATAAAACATAAGTGACTTAGTATGTAAGAGGCACTAACTGGTACCTGGGGCGGCCAATTTTAACCAATGATATTGTTACATTTTGGAAGTAAGCCTATGAAAATATAAATCCTGTTCTCTTGTCAACTTTCCAACTGTCAGGTAAAGACAACATGAAATGATTACAGATTTCAACTTTAGTGTCAAACCATCTGTTATAAATGTTATATAATGAGTCTTAATTAATTATATGGCTAGGTTTGCCAATGATAATTAACACGCAGTCAGTAACCATGAAACGTATTGCATTTAATATAAGGAAGGGTGTCTAATTATCAACAGTCATAGAAAAAACAAAATGAATTTCTTTATTGTTTGAAATGTCAATTTGTCTTTTGATCACTTGAATTATTTAAAAAATCAACACTTCACTAACAAAACATCTTTTAGATTTCCAGAAAAGTCAAAATATCATTTTTCTTCATTTAAATATTATACTTTCAAAACTCATTTTTTCTACTACATGCAATGTTAATAAAACTTAAGTGCTATCTTGCCATGGTGAGATGAATATTGCCTAAAATCTAAACAAAGTCCTTGTTCATACTACCTAAGTTTCAAATCAACAAAAACTCTAGGCCAGTAACAATATACAAGATACGAGGGAAGACCAAAGACTTCATGGATGACTTGTACTGTACATAACAACAAATTCATTTCATCAATATAAGACAAAGAATTGGTTTGATCAAACAAATATGCTATATTCTGGTTCAAGTAGATAACAATTACTTTTGTTGGCTTTTTATATTTCATTTATACCCAACTTCCCAATTATTTTATACCCAACAATGTCCAAATTTATCAAAGTCCTCTAAGAGCTCAATTACAAGAGACTAGTCTGACTTGTCTTCATCCAAGTATTTCTTCAATTTGTCTATGACAAGGAAGCTTGTGCGATCCACAGCTTCTTTAGTATTAGAGCAGTTATGTGCTCCAAACACGGTGTTTTCAAATTGACGTAGTTCATCATCTTGCGGCAATGGCTCCACTTCAAATACATCCAAAGCAGCACCAGAGACATACCCAGAATGCATCAGCTCAACTAAATCTGATTGGTTAATTATAGGGCCCCTTCCAACATTTACAATTTTGACACCTGGCTTGGCATTCATCATGACTGATTTGTTGATGGAGTGATGGGAAGAGGGAGTAAGGGCACAACAGACGACTATGAAGTCACAATTGCTTGTTGCCGTTTGCAAATCAGAAATGTCAACTGCATGAATAGACTCGCTAAACTCTATATCAGCATCACATGTTATACGTCCATTCTCCTTTCTAAAGAACGGATCAACTGCGTGGATCTTAAGACCAAATGCCAGAAGGCGATGAGCGATGCATCTTCCAATGTTACCAAACCCAATCAGAGCAACCTTTTTATCAGTTAATGACATTCCACATGGCTTATACCAGCCACCCTGGCGGACTTTGCGGTCAATGGCCATGAACTCTCTGGCAAGGGCAATCACATAACCGACAGCAACATCAGCGACTTCATTATTGAACATTCCAGGAGTGTTACTAACAGGAATGTTATATTTATTACAGGCATCAAAATCAACATTGTCAGTCCCGACACCCCATTTCATTGCGGCTTTGAGACGGCCTTCCTTCCCAGCCTTAAAGACTGCCTCGGTGGCCGGGTCATCCCCTATGATCCAAGCATCAAACTGGGGGACAAGATCAATCAGTTCTTTCACAGATAACACCTGAGTAAAATCTGGGATAGTAATGTCCATGTTATATTCAGACAACTTTTCACGATACTCATCAATTCTTCCGATCATTGGAGGACATGTTAGTAGGACTTTGTATTCGGCCATTTTGCAAATGTTCAAGTTATTAACACCTGGAGCTGGTTGTATATAAAGTTACTAAGTCAGTTTTATATACAATTTGATATTGTTGTTAAATCTTTTATTTCTTTTTAGATCTTTTATTGATGCTTAAGAGACTTCGACTGTTATCACCAAGAGTTCATAAATCGATCTGCAAGCACACAAAAAAGTTTTATTGGCAAGATTTACAATTTCAAGTGATTCTGAAGGTCGTAATCATGAAGCAGCTAGAGATGTTCATGTATTTATTTACCTTATTATGTTGAAGTCAAATTGCTTGAACAGATCATGATCACTTGGTAATAACAGAGTGACTTAAAAAGTTATCTGTATATATCTTGGATTACCAAAGTATAAAGTTTTGAAAATCAAACTGCAAAATGAGTATGGGCCTATTATAATATCGTATTAAAATGTATAAGACAACACAAGATAATGAGTTCTAGTTTTCGAATTATGAATCCAGGGGCGTCAGAAGGATTTGCCAAGAGTGGGGGGGCGACTTTGGATATGGATGGGTCATGTGTGAAGCACGCCGCTCTGGTGTTTTAGAAAACTAGCTTGACTTTGACTAAAACAATATACATGTAATATGAGAAATGAGATATTCTATGCTTGATGTAGACTAGATAATGACATAGTATCATTTCTGTCATTATTACACTTTAACCTTAATAAGCTCTAAAACTTTCAATTCTGGGCTTGGTTTCAAATCTAAAAAAAGGGTAGGTGTAAATATTTTCGAAACAAATGCGTGATATATACACATATTTTGTACCAAATGTGTGACATAAACGGCAATCGCGTGCAAAGACCGAACGCAATGCGTTCGCTTTTTTCGCCGTTTGGTATTTTACCATGTCGGCATTTTCACAAAGAACAATTTTTAAAAATATCAACAAAATGGGTGTTTTGCGTGATATTTGATCATACACGCTAAATTGATGCGTGATTTCTATTTTTCCAGCAAATGCGTGACAATCACGCCTAATGCGTGAGGGTTGACAGGGCAGCAAATGTCTTACTACTTGAGTGACTCTCAAGTCAATTAAGTGGCCAACAACTACTACAGTACCATTACACAACAACTTAAACAACCTTTAATATACAATAAACACTTCAATAACCATAATAAAAATCCTAGTTTTGATAAAATGACTAGCCTATTTATTTTATGTACAGAAAAAGTGTAGTGATTTGACTATAAATAGCAAAGTCAGCTAGTCGTGCCCTGGCAGTGTTAACATGTAAATTCAAAGCTGCAGGTGGAATGGACTATGCAGTTTATACTAAGCTATATGATACAATAGTCCAACCAATCATCAACTATGGTACCTCAATTATTGGTCTTAATGAGCATCGTTGTATCAATAATGTACAAAATAAAGCAACAAAAATATTCCTAGGAGTAGGCCAAAAGACGAGCAATGAAGGAGCCAGAGGGGACATGGGCTGGAGCCCCCCTATCCACAAACAAAAATTGGAATGTGCCCGACTATATCTGCGACTCCACAATATGGAAAATACCAGATTAAATAATCGGATACATATATGGTCGTTAAAGGTGCTACAAATAGTGCAGGGGGGCCATTCAACGATCATCGACAAGTGTCAAAATATATTTAGGTTTGGATATTTCATCAAGACTAACATATATTTTCATTATCTACAAAGAAACCCTCTGGTTGAACATTATTTCAGCTGATATTCCTCTTGAAACATGGCGGATCTTAAAAATCTATAAGTGGGACTCCCTTTATAGAAGCTTTGAATTGAATTTACACTTCTTAATGCTGAAATGGATAGTTTATACATACATTTTATGAAAATAGGTATGTCAAAGAAGGTATTAAGCCAAATATTGACCTGATAGCTCAGAAAAAATAAAAATTTTCGAATTTTCTCTCTACAGTCCTTATTGCCCCTTTAAGAAGAAAATCAAGTTGGAATTCTCGTACTAAACATTTCATTGAATCTTGTGGTATACTTTTGAATAATCAGTACATTGAGACAAAACCATGTATCAAAGCTATTAAAAATCACCTACAGACTACTGATCCTTTTCTTCGAAATATCTGGAATGATAAAAATAATGAAACTAATGGCAATAAACTGAGAACATATCGCCAATTTAAATATGGTGCATCAACTGAAGCATACATTGAAATGTTTATGCCACGCCATCATAGAAGTATTCTTGCAAAACTGAGAACTGGAACATTGAAACTACACATTGAAACTGGCCGTTATACCAATACACCTCTTGAGGATCGAAAATGTGCTTTATGTGACTCTAATGAGATTGAGGACGAGATACACTTCACTCTCAAATGCTCTCACTACAATGTTTTGAGGAAAAAATTTCTGGCTATTGTTAATAAGCTGGCCCCTAGCATTGATACTGGTTCAAATGATCATATTCTGCTGTTTACTAGACTTATGCACACGCCCTGTATACAGAGAGCTTTTGCAAGTACATTATTTAAGATGTTCAGTAAAAGAAACTTTGATCTAGAAAGACTTTAACAGTACCTCTATTTGAGATAATTCCATAACAACAAATTATAATGTATATTTTCTCAAACTGTATTCTATTTGTTGATATTCAATTATACATAAGTTGCTTGTCTGGGGATAAAGGCCATATGATATTGATTCTGCCACTTTACAGCACTTTTACATACTATTTAGAACTGTGATACTGCCAAAATATATACAAGATGCAAACCTGTAGATCCACTGTGATATGGGGGACCCCTCAGGAGGGTATTGGGCCAACCAGAGGGCTCTTATATCACTGATTAAGCAGGGTTTCTCTTTCCATTTGCTCCCAGGAACATCAACCTTGGGGAAGATGTCTCCTCTTAGTAAATGGAAGTAAACAGTGAACTCAGTATACAAAAATTATGGTCTCTATCACTGTCTTATTGTGCATTTAGTAATTTTCACATGGGAATTTTAATATTACCCACACATGTATCAACTTGGTGTCTCATAAGCCGGCATCGGCTAGAAGCAATGTTTTTAAAAAAAGTGTTTTAAATGTATTTTAATATTATTGCTTGTGACACAAAAATAAACTATATTAAACTAAACTAAACTATAGGCGAAATGAAAAAGAATCCCTCATTTAAAACATGGGGAGTAAGTTACCCCCCTATCTAATAGTACCTATATTAAATATTCTTATACAGTCTACTTACTTAAAGGGCATACATGTGCAGTATTCCTTCAATACTTGGTAATGAAACATTTACCATTGAGTGGCAAAATTGACTTTTATATCCTAGCTTGCCTGAATGACAACATCATCTGGTGACAACAAGACATGTCATTAACTGTCACAAAAGAAGCGAAATAATGAATCACTCACCCATCCTTATGAACAGAAGTAACTAACTTTGAAATTATCTAGGAATCTGAAAGTGAAATTCTGATAATTGAAAATCCGGGATAACATTAAAGACTAGATATCAAAAATTATATCTACAATACTAACGTTTGAAACAGATAGTCAAATTATTAGAGTGAGAATCTAAATTTCAAAATCTGAAAAAAGGAACCTAAAAATGAATGAAATAAACAACTTACAAGCAAGAAATGTAATAAAAATCCTCCCCGATATATGCAATATATGTCTACTATAAATACTTCCTTCACTCTTCCGATTAGTTAAATGTATAAGAGAAGCTGATTCAAATTCAAACCTCCCTTAAAATCAATAAATATTGTTCGGGTTAATATTTGGATAAGCTATACATACCAACTTAAGAATTGTATGAGTGTCAAAGGGATTTAAATCGTGGCAAAACTTGACTCAACAATAGATCCTGAAAGTACTTGCATCACTCTTTATCCTAATCACCTAGCTACATTGCCCTCTGACTTATACAGACAATTTTGCAGTTTTAACACTGATGAAATCTCAATGATCTTAAACGCAGCTTTCCAGGTCTTTCAAGTGAGAGTAAATGTGTTATGACAAAATATAGGTGACTTAAGAGGATACATAGGATCAAAAAATGATTTCGGATTCAGAGTGTATATAAAACTAATTTCTTGGCAAGGGTATTCAATACAAATCATTTTGATCAAAATAGGGAAATTGCCACTTGATGATGCAACTTATCAATTCAACTCATTTATGTTAATGTTAAATAGCTCTACTGAGCCTTTTAACAAATTGAAATATTATAAGTTTTAAATAACATGTTTGTAAAATGCTTTTTAATGTGCACTCGTGTTTTAAATAGTTAACATGATACATGGGAACAAATATTAAATCAGGATATCCCAATATACAATGGTCCACACCCTGATTTGAATAATACTTGAGAGCTGCTCAAGATCCTGGTATATAATATAGGTAAACATGTAGTACAGCAATATGAATGTGTGTGTAACCATGCTGCTCATAATCCTATATTACACAATTGTTTCCATAATAAATCACAAATTGAATGGCGAAAGACGCCAAGCTAGTGGTGGGTTTGGGCGGGTCCCTCCTTCCAAGAGATTTTGAAGAAATTATATTTGATTGAGTGCTTTTTAAGATCAATGTTGACCCATTGTATTTACTTTCAAAAGAGAAAAAAATATTTTCATTGGAAAAAATTAACAAATATGACCTAAATTTTGAAACCCTTGCTTGACCCCCTACTCCCCCCCCTCCCCCTTAGAAATAAATCCAGATTTGGGTCAGATTTTGGTTCATTTTTGTCTGAAATTACCTGAAATTCCTGAAGACTTTAGCCATGCAAGAGATAATATCGAAAAGTGACTCATGAATTTAACAGATAAGAGGAAGAAAATAAACTCAATCGTGAACGTATAGATTATGGCTCCAATCAATATATCAAAATTCATGAAAAACATATTTAATGATGTAACAAAAATGAATGAAGACCAACATTCGCAAAAATTAATTCAACAATATTTTTTGCTCATAACATTTCAAGTAAGTCAATTTTCTAAATACCTAAGCAAGTAATACGTGACAGTCATATGTGAAAGTCTTACGTGACATTAATGCCCGTTAACATCAAAAGCTTATCTGCTGTCAAGAAACCCCTAGCCCTTGAGGAAATAACAATTAACAACAATATGATTATCAATTACCACTTAACATCAAAAATAATCATTTCTATTTCATATTTTTATATTTCATCTAGCAATAATGTACATATTTAATCCATACATCACATACAAACTCACAACTTACTGGAAGTGAAAAAATAAGTGAAAAAGTAAGTGAAAAAGTAAGTGAAAAAGTAATATCATTCAAATGATCAATAAACTTATCAAACTACATAACAACACAAACTTTATCAATCCTTAAATCTGTTGTGCGTTATATTTAGCATAATACTCGTATACCTTATGCTTATATGGATAGTCTAGAAAGATTCACCTTATAAAGTATTATGGAGTGTCACAAATGTAATGCATTATATGTTGGGTCTTACACATGTTTTATATGCATTTTTATATACCTTTGTCCTTATAATGTACATGTATACATACTTTATTTCATCTTAAGAGACCCCCCCCCCGCTCCCCACCCCAATAAATTACCAATCAAACTAAAATGGCATCAGGCTTGGTGTAAGTGAGTTTATTTACATAAAACATCTAATTTTGAACACTATAATGTAAACACCTTACAATATAAACACTTCTTAATATGAACATTATTTACATTCCTTAATATTATACTATGAATGCTCTTTGCAGGATTCAGAGATTAAGACAAATATATTGAAGGTTGTATGATGATTGATCGTATGATGTACATTTATATGTATAATAGATTCAAGTTAATCAGTCATAAAAACATAAATTTAGTTTTGAATATGGATTTCATATGGCATTAAAGAATAACAATTTTCAATAAAAATTAAAATGGCTAAAGGATATTCAAGTTATAAACAAAAAAAATATATAATTGATTCATAATTTGTGATAATTTTACTTCTAAAATGTAATAGGCAGATCATCGTAATCCCGGGTTTTTGAGTTATGACACAGACATATATACAGACAGATGGATGGATGACAGAATGGCAGTTTCTCTACGTCCCTTCTTGAACAAAGACAAAAAACTATGTACAGTATATAAAGACTAACAAATTACAATATTTTTTACATTGAAACGTTTAATTGGAATGTTGGTTTTAATATAAAAAGATGCAGATTTAACAATTTCTAGTTGTGTGCTTCTACGAATCGTATTTCAAACATATAACCCAATCCAACACTTTTACTATTTAATGATTTTGATATGTTGAGTCTGAAAGTTTCAAATTTGATATGGGGTTCTAAGAAAAATAATTCAAAATCTAGAATATATTGAAAAATATGGCACATAGATGTTAAATCATTCATTTGATTTTTTGGGGGGTATTTTGACACTTTTTATTTGAATTTTTTGGTCATGTTGACACTTTAAAAAATGACCTTTTGTCAATTTTGCGATAACTTGAAAAAGGCTCAAGTAAATTCCATGGGCTTTCTCTTGAAAATTAATGAAAGGATAATCCTTAAGTTCTTAAAGTAATCTGGCAAAAAAATAATAAAATAGAACCTTCCACTTTTCAATTATAATGAATTTAGTCATTTCTGCATCTAAAAAGCTTCAATAACCATATATGGTCAGATAATTCAATCCTATAGACCAGACAATATCCCTGAATCTAACATTCTATTATGTGCATTATATAATACCCTGTATTCAAAATACTATATATAGTAATAATGATAACTATACTCTTGCTAGGATAGATGACTTAACTTATAATGCTGATTTAATGTTATTGACTTCAAATGAATTCACCATGGGCCTTTCATGGGAGTTTCATTTTTAAATAAATGGCAGCTCCTTATAAATATATTTTATGCGACTGCAATTTTAACTATACATTTGTTGAATTTTGATTGGTTTTTCCCTGGTGGGTAAAGCTTGACCATAGAATTACACATGTTACATGTATCTCTCAATCAAAGAGGATATGCAGACCTCTTGCTAGGCTTTTAATGGACCTTTCATGGGAGTTTCAATATCAAATAAATGGCGGCTCCTTGTAAATATATTTTATGCAACTGCAATTCTACCTATATACATTTGTTGAATTTTGATTGTTTTTTTCCCGGTGGGTAAAGCTTGAACATAGGATTATCTCTTAATCAGAGGATATGCAGAACTCTTGCTAGGCTCTTACTGTATAAGTGGTAAATTTCCCTAATCATTTAATTTGCCATTGCCTTATTTCTGCCAAGTTCGGAAAATTAAATATCAGAAATATTATCTTCATAATGTTGTCCAATGGGAAGTTTCTTGTCATTAGGAAAATAAAAAATTAGAAAAATGATAAACTTTGACCATTCGGCAAATTAACCACTCGGATTAAATACCACTTATACAGTAAACTGTGGAACAGCACCGCAGTCTTATTAGCTCCCACCACAACCTATTGGCAAATATTGATTGTTTCCACAGTCTAAACATGACTGAATAGACAATAACTGCATGTAAAAAGGATATAATACAACATAAATATGATTTATCATGATTGAACGGTTATACTGAACGACTATGTATGAACCACTCATTCCTATCATTCAGGAAGGTGAAAACAAACTATTGAACTATTGAGCATTATATCAAGTAAATGTAGTGTCCTTGTTATCGGCCACGTTATGATACTCTGCCCTCACTGCAAGTTTGCCCTGAGCTGATGAAGTCATCACTTCAATCAAGAAACTTCACAAAATGTTAGACATCCTACAGACAATTGTTCAAGGATACTTATTTTGTATTTGCTTCTTGATTGTCTATTAAATGATATTTTGTGACGACGTCTTTGACTGGTTGTCTATTGATTGACTGATTGTCTTCTTGACCTATTATAACCCAGGTACATGTATAAAATAAATGTACATGTATATATCGGAATTTTTGGAGTTTTTGGCTTATTGTCTCATAAAAAGACATTTGTAAAATGTATGGCTTATTGTCAATCAAATGATCTATTGTAATGACCCTAAGACTGATTGTCTTTCAATGAAATATTGTGATGATCTCGGATAGAGAACTATGAATCCAAACATGTCAAGAATTAGAGAGCCATAAAGTCTTTAAAGGTCATAAATGGGCACATTTCTTTAAGCTTTGATATCGGACTCCCATTATAAATATCAACCTTTAGTCCAAGTTTTTTAACATCTCCAAACATCTGCCTGAATGCTGGCACGTGAACAGCATTACTATTGGGGACATTGTACACATCGCCTTTTTGTTGGTAGCCTTTGAAGAAATAGTTCGGATTATCATCTGGTGTTTCTTTAATTTTAAGAACACCTTTGTATTTCTCAGATTCTTTTATATGTTCCACATAGTTCATATCAATCCCCATTATCAGGATTTTATCGTATCCCATGAGAATGCCAAACCGTGTTGCTAGGTTACCAGTTGAGATTGCAGATACAATAGAGACAATATGGCGTCCTTTTCTGTAATCTTCAAATACTTGGACTCTGGGGTCGTTTTTAAATTGTGGTGCCCTTCCATAAAAGTTGCTACGTGTGAAGAACTTTTTTATTCCATTGGTAGAAGAATTGTTTATGAGCTCAATAATGTCTTTGGATCTGTCAACATTAACTACGGTGTCAAAGGAGAAATAGTATGTAGGATACCAATTAATTTCGCTCCAGTACCTGTATGCCTGGTTCATTCCCAATGAATCTACACCTTGAACTTCATGGAAATTGAATCCCTTCAAGGAAGGTCCATTTCCAAATATGACAAGCTTACGATACATCTTACAAGGTTTATCCCCTTCTGGACACCATTTAATATTACACGTTCCAGTCAATGGTTTTCCATCTTTGGCCTGTATACATTGCTGCATGACGTTACCATCCTTATCTCTAGCGATACACCAGCCACAATTCTTGCATTTTTGACACTCTCCCTCCATGTAGCCACTACAGTCACACTCTGATAAATCATTGGTCAGAGCAACATATCGATTATGAATAGGATTCAGCGATGTCTGGGTATCTCCCGTTTTTTCAAAAATTGGTTTTGCCTGCGCAGGTTCACATTGAGGTTGAGACTGACCTTGACCTTCGCAGTTACATTTAGCTTCTATGCTGCGATTTTGAACCTCAAATTTTTCCATGTGAGAAGTTGACGACAAATATAGGATAACCACAAGTCCCGCCACCCCTCCAGTCAAGACCATCAGTAGGTAATTGGTGCGCATCTTGTCTATCAAGATATTATCCTCAACTCAATGTCTGAAAGGAAATAGGCCAAAGGTCAGTCTCATAAATCTGTTTTTATCATTTATATGTTTCCTCTTGTCTTGAATGTCTATTCCAATAATCTGTAAATGGCTAATAAGCCTGTTTAAAGCATATATATAATCTATCAGTGATAGAATGGATGTTCTTTTTTGACAAAAGTTCTCTGACTCAAATTCTAAAGTTCAACCTCATGCCCTTTCTACTAAACTCTCTGGTTATAATTGGGATTTCATTTTATTTTACAACAGAATGGCCTCTTTTATTAACCAATGAAACTGGATATATTAAACTATATAAGCTAGATTTATGATGTCATAGTTTGCAGGCAGCGATATTTGTGAACAGAATTAAAAGCTTTTGAAATTAGCAATAAGTTAATCCTATTTTCCCTCATGGAACTGTATAATTGATAGCAAAACCAATACAATATTAGTGGCATTATTTCCCAATTCATTTACTGATTGCTTCTCACAGGGATATGCACAATAATACTTAAGTTAACTTACAAACTTAAGCTAACGAAAAAAATTACATCCTAGAATTTCAATCCAATCCATCAAATGCTATACTTGCAAATTCAAACTTCCTAAAAATGGAATACTAAAAGACCCAGATTTTAATTGGTATCAACTAACGTATAGGAAGTGGAAATGAGTTGAAATCAATGACACCACGAACTAATGAATTAATCCATGAAAATTACATTAAAAATTGTATCATGCGAAACTACCTTAACATTAACTAAAACCATATCTTTAGATTTTCGCTGGAAGGTAGAAAAGGAAGGAAGGTAGATATAATGATTAAGGTAAATACTTAAGGCATATAGCCAACATATCAACGAGAAATTTATGTTATATACCTAGATTGAATATAATCCAAAATATATACAATATGCTTAAATTTTAGATTCTTAACATACAATTCAAGATCCAATCAGCCACCGTGAATGCCTCTATTTCCAATACTGAATAGGAGACGTCATAATTCTAAACCCTTTCTTCAATCATTTAAGCAAACAGGAGTGCTGTGCTGTGGTGATTATACAGAAAGTTGCCAATACAACTCTTTCAATGCATATTTACTTGCCTTATAGAAACAGCTCAGACAGTGTGAACAAATATATGTATGCCCATTCAACTGAAAGGTGAAGTTTCTGGGTTACTGAAACATCATAAGGAAGAGCTCAGATGATTTTTTTCTCCATCAATTATTAAAAAAACCTTCACTTTAAACTAGTACTCTGAGTAAAAAATGTCCCATTGATTTATGACTTTATGGATACCTACAGACAGTATAGTTTTTCAATGTGTTCATATATTTTCCAACTGTGTTCACATCGATTTTCAACTGTGTTCATAGAGATTTTCAACAGTGTTCATAGATTTTCAACTGTGTTCATGTAGATTTTCAACTGTGTTCATAGAGATTTTCAACTGTTCATATAGATTGTCAACTGTGTTCATATAGATTTTCTACTGTGTTCATATAGATTTTCAACTGTGTTCATATAGTTTTTCAACTGTGTTCATATAGATTTTCTACTGTGTTCATATATTTTCCAACGGTGTCCATATAGTTTTTCAACTGTGTTCATAGAGATTTTCAACTGTGTTCATATAGATTTTCAACTGTGTTCATATAATTTTTCAACTGTCTTCAATCATATAGATTTTCAACCATATTCATATATTTTCCAACAGTGTCCATATAGTTTTTCAACTGTGTCCATATAGATTTTCAACTGTGTTCATATATTTTCCAACTGTGTTCATATAGATCTTCAACTGTGTTCTAGAACTAGTCTGTCAACTTATGTTTTGCAAAAGATTTTTGAATCAACAATGATGACCGTGAGAATTATGAGATTACTGTGAGAATTATGAGATTACTTTGTAACTAGACCTAACTGCAAGTAAAGGGGGTTGTTATATATGGTATTAAAACTGCTTAGATGGTATTATATTTCCTGGTCAGATAATTAATTTAGGATAATGTAACAGTGCATATTGGTATGATATATTATATTTTAGACAATGGTACATATAGATTTTCAACAAGGGAATATAAAAAGCAATTACTGAAGTAGAAAAAAACATACTGATATTGATTGCATCTTTCCATTTCACGAGAACACGCCCCATGCATTGCGCTTCATGGCTGAGAAGAAATTAGATGTAATGCATTAATACACAAATGTAAACTGAATTGAGTCGCCATTTTGGATTTTTTCCTAAAACTGACATCTTTTCATAATGAATGTCATATCAAACTATTGCATAATTTATCATATACCAATGCCTGTATTCTCCTAATATTAATACATGTAATATAATTATTGAATAACATTATATACTCTATACTCACAATGTGGGTAAAATATGAAGTAATTTTATTACCGTAATCATGACAACATGAATAATTTAACTAGAGGTGATTAAATGTAGAAATCCTAATTCCCAGCGAGAATGCTGTACATAGAGAGAAGTCAATGTGAGAACAAGTTAATACACTTCAGCACGCTATGTTCATCATTTATTTTGATTCATAGTACTCTAATTGATGAGTTACCATCAGAATCATGAAACATTTACAGAATGATGCTCTTTCATCAGGTCTCCTCCCCCCCCTCTCCCCCGGCCCGCCATCAGCTTTTCCCGCAACCTTTTTAAGTAGCAGGTTTCATGTTAGTATATTTATGTAAATGAAAAGAATAATATTCAGATATAAAGCGATCACATTCACATCTTACATAACAAAATTCTAATTACTAGGAGGACAAAATACATTACATCATTATTGTAAGTTCTACTACCCTTTGAGCCCTTTGCATTTGATGACTTCGCTTCTTAAAAGAGAGCTTCATCTTCACTCTAAGTCTTCCAGATGAAAATGAGATATAATAGACTCAAACAAACACCCTCAATATTTTATAAAAATATAAAAGCTTTGGAAAGGCATTCCTTTTCTAGTTAGTAGTACAATTTTGTTCCTAATTGAACTAGTTGCAGCTTTAGAATTTTAAAAGGCATTCAATTATTTTTACATGAACATTGTTCAAGCTAAAGTGATAATCATGTCCAAGTTTATTAATTGTGAAAGTTACATATTATTACGAATTACAAATATTTTGGGGTTATTAAGGTTGGACATTAAATCAATCAAGGTAGAACCAAGTGTGGTAACAAATAACCAGGGACAATTTTCTTATATTTAATAATTAGTTTACACCAAAATACCATAGGAGGTCATATTTAAAAAAAAGTCCAATTGAGCCACTCTTTATATAATTATTCATTTGGCCACAAACTCATAAAATGGGTGTGACCTGGAATAGCAACAAACAACAATGTTTCAAATCTTGGCTCCGGTACAATGATTTTGAAAGAAAGAATATGTGTACTGCAAAAATAATAAAGTCACTACAAAAATGGGTGTGACCTGTAATAGCAACAAACAACGTCCTCCTAAATGATTTTGAAAGAAAACAGAATACATGTACTGCAAAAAAATATTGTCATCACTACTATTTTATATAAAAATAGTAAGTCACATGATTAAATTGATTCACTTGTTTCAGTTGTCGTTCTTGTAGAAAGCAATGATGTGATAAATCAAGTCCCTGACAAACTTTATAATCCAATGAATCAGAACTGCGTCCAAATAAAATCCTAATCACCAAACACATTAGTAACCATGTAAAATGTAAAAAAATCCACATTTTTACTGCACCATTTCTCAATATAAATCTTTCAATCAAAAAATACAGCAATGACAGAATTCCTGTAATAAATTTGGTATTACAAGTGCAAGTGAAAGAAAATAAATTGTGAGAATAATTAGTTATGATAATAATCTTACTTTCAGTATAGTTCTATCCTCATACCTTGAATATTCATTTATTTATATATTTATGATGGTGGCACACCTTGACATGGGTGCAGTACAAAGTAGTAAAATGTAAGCAGTGTGAAATTTAAACTTCTGGTTATTATTTAGTTTGTAAATTTCTTTCTTCCTTCTTTCCCCTTTCACCTTTTTATTTATTCTAAAACCTATTACTCAAAACCAACTATACAGTGTACATGTTAGACTAGATAGATATCCCAGAACCAAATAAGAAAATACATAGACAATTACCTTGTGTATATTGGAAAATGTCAATGCGTCCACACCCTTTTCCTTCAATCCTATGAATAAAGTTTGAATGTGAAAGCCTGTACTATTGGCATAGTGCCTATAAGGTACACAATAGCAAGCCACATTGATTCACAAAAGGTGCTGCTACAGTAAAACATTTCCACATTGAACACCTTATTCTGCACTTTAAGAAAAAATAAAGAAAATAATTTGATTCTGAATTATGTATTCTGATAATGATATGTAAATAACTACAAAAATTTTGAAAAAATATTATCTATTTTATCTATGTATGAATTATGTATTCTGAAAATGATATGTAAATATCTGCATAAATTTTGGAAAAATATTATCTATTTTATTTAAAATTTACCTTAAATGAGAGGTCATGAGCACATTTGGGGCATCAACTTTTGAAGAAAACATGGTTAATCTAGTCAATGATTCATTAAACTTTTTCACCCAAAAAGTATGCAGTCAATAGAACAGTGTTTATGCTAAAGATAGACCAAAATCATTCAACTGTATACAATTACACTCTTACTAATGCCTTGGTCACATTTGCTCCAATTTTCCGGCCGATTGAGTATTTTATTCAAAATTGAATTTAATATTGAACAAAACACTCAATCGGCCAGGTGCCGGCTGATGGATTGGAGCAAATGTGACCTAGGCATTACATAACCACTGTGTAAATAAATAATTTAATGATACTACACATCATTTACCAGTACATTATAGCACAGCGTGTAAATAATAACTAGACAGTCAAATCAGTATATCCAAAAATCTCCCTTATCTAAACAAACCTAATATGCCATGGTCACATTTGCTCCAATCTTCCACACCAGTGTCCGGCCGATGAGTATTTTGTTCAAAACTGAATGTAATTTTGAACAAATTACTCACCAGCCACAGCTAGGCGCCCGAGTACTGAAAATCAGAGCAAATGTGACCACGGCATAATCGGAACATATCTAAATTTGAACGTTTGTCGATCTTCTTTTATTTTAATATCCCATAGAAAACCTTGTAATGTGAAAACCCGCCAATCCTAATACTTTTGGCAGTTCCAGTAGTGTTCCAATTAGAGAAGTTTTACTGTACTGACCATTAGGCATATTGAGTTATCAAACTGTGACCCTTTTGTAACCTGATTTAGCTGTGACTAAACATCCAACATGACAATCCTAAATACAAATCATCATGTATTTTTAGCTCACATAAATGAGCTTTTGTTATTGATCTATGCCCTGTGGCTATTCTTCAGTAAAAGATTTAGTCTAGCAACAAGCCCGTGTGACCCCCCCCCCCCTCCCACCAACAAACAACATGCAACACACATTCTGTGTTAGTGAAGTAGAAGCAAAACTAGTATGCGCTGTTTCTATCACAATGAGATTACATGGATTGGAGATAGACGTCCTTGATGTAACTAAAAAAACTCAAAACAAAATATTTTCTCAATCACTTGGTCCTTTTTTATTTTACCTCCAGAGCAATTGACCTACAAGGCTCTTAATAGCACCTGACCCGTAATAAATCTTGCCTTTAGCAACAAATTAAATATAACCCAACGTATGACCACTTCAAATCAGTTTTACCCATAAATTCTAAAAGGAAGTAATTGTTATCAGACATTCACATTGCATTAACTTCTGCCATTTGTATACTTTTATTTATACCCTTTTGACTTTTGAGTAGTTTGACAAATGTATGTTACTGTATTGCCATTGCTAATATCTCCTGGCAGAATTTTTTTCTGAATTAAGAATTAGCTTATGAACTTAAACACCAAGTAACCAATCCATGAGTATTGTATCTCTTTTTTCGCATTGCATTTAATTACATGCATTCTAATACTAATTCACATCTTTCTGTTTGCTAAGAAAAAATGAGGAAATAAAATATCATCGTTTATCATAATGGTGCTTATTGAGAACTAGACTGAATTTACAAATTATCAAATAAATAAATGATCAAACAAACACAGAGACTTGTAATAATTATAAGAAATATCAAAAGCCTCTATGCTTTCAGGATATTATGACAAGGAATCTATAAAAAAGTACTTTTATTTTTAAGCATTCGTGAGTCATTGTTATTATATTGTTTATAGTATAAACTTTATACTCATACCATTGCTTTATTATGATGGTTTGATTAATAATTACTATTTTCCAATAACTCTTTTTTACTTTTTAATAATTTATTAGTAGTTATTAATAATATGAAGCAGGCTTTGCAAAACAAGCTAGATTTAGGAGCTAAACTTTAGCAGAAGAATATTGGATTAAAATTTTGTTTTGTTTCATTATTTTCTGCTTTCTTTTGAATACTTTTGTATAGGTTAGAAAATATGTTGTTTAAATGATAAAAATCAAGCTAAAGTTGACATCGTACCATTTGTTGTTCAGTCCTTCTTATTAAAAATGAATAATATAAAAGCTGCCAATATATAAACATATTTCATCCAAAATGGGCTAATATTCAAATCAAAAGGGACCAGGTTAAAGTTTTAATAATATTTTTGTGACATTTTTAACAATAAAACACCCAAGCCATTCTCTAAACATTTGTGGATATAAAAACAATAATGTGTAATTTTACAATTTACTGTTCAACATTATTCATGGAATTTTGTTAATACGCTTTTATCACCTTTTCAATTGTGGATGTTTTACCCCCTCCCTCAATTAAATTCTACTTTCAAGAATAACCATAAAAAGTCCTTTGTCAGATGTTGACACAGAGATTTTTATGTGAGAACTGCTTCATATGAACATCAGTATGTTTGGTTAATATTGAAAAGCTAATGTACTTTTAAATCTACAATTTACCTAACCATTCTGCATCCTTCAAGACTGGACATCGATGACTGTCCCAGCTCATACCAGGCCCGTAGCTAGGGGGGTTTGATGGGTTTGAGCGAGCCAAAGGTCAGGCCCGTAGCCTACTTTTGCCAAGGGGGTCACTTTTTTTAAAAAAAGGGTGCTACACATTTGACAACTTTGGTCCAAAATCACTCAAAAAATGCTCAGAATGGGAAAAGCTGCATGATTTTGAAAGAATTTTTATTTATTATTTCTCACAATGACAATTTAAGAGTTCAAAATTTTTGATATACTGTACTGAAATGTCTACAGAAAAATATGATTGAACCCGTCATTAGAGCAATCGGGTACTACATACTGCTGAAAACTACATGCTGCCATATTGAAAATCTATTTTCCCTCTGCTATTAATAAGGGTAAAACATTGAGATACTTTGATCAAAATGATAAAAGTAGGATTTACCACTCAGTTAACAAAAATCATTAGCAAGATCAAGTGAATTTTATACATGTTCTTGAGGCTTAGTACAAAAAGGAATTAAATACATGTACCAGGGCTCTCGCCAGGCTTTCAGACTGTGGCACAGCACCACACTCTATTTAGCTCCCTCCACACCCTATTGGCAAATCATGACTGTTTCCACAGTCTAAACTTGACTGAATATACAATAATAGCATGTAAAAAGGATAAAACATAACATAAATATAATTTATCACGATTGAACGGTTATTCTGAAGATGTTAGCTCCACACACCCTAAATATTTCCTGGTGAGAGCCCAGTGTACTGTAATAATTTGTATCTGATTCTAAATGACAAGTGTCATCTTACCTCTTTCCCAGCTATAGTGAGGTATCAGGTTGAAGCTTCTCTGCTCAATATGAAGCACAGTGTGTGGTGTAGCTAATATATATTGATATTCTTACTTAGTGTTATTGATTATATTTGGAAACAGAGTGTCGTCAGGGTAACTTTACCTGCAAGAACAATAGCAAGAGTAAACTACTAAACTCTATGATATTCATTTGGGAATTATGGGAAATAATCAATACGATGATCATAATACATTGTCAAGGGACCCTGTTAAAGGCTCTATGTTAAGTTTAAACCAATCTGGCTTATATTTGGGAATTACGGAAAATAATCAATACGATGATCATAATGCATTGTCAAGGGACACTGTTAAAGGCTCTATGTAAAGTTTAAACCAATCTGGCTTATATTTGGGAATTATGGGAAATAATCAATACGATGATCATAATGCATTGTCAAGGGGCACTGTTAAAGGCTCTATGTAAAGTTTAAACCAATCTGGCTTATATTTGGGAATTATGGGAAATAATCAATACGATGATCATAATGCATTGTCAAGGGACCCTGTTAAAGGCTCTATGTAAAGTTTAAACCAATCTGGCTTATATTAGGGAATTATGGGAAATAATCAATACGATGATCATAATGCATTGTCAAGGGGCACTGTTAAAGGCTCTATGTAAAGTTTAAACCAATCTGGCTTATATTTGGGAATTATGGGAAAAAATCAATACGATGATCATAATGCATTGTCAAGGGACACTGTTAAAGGCTCTATGTAAAGTTTAAACGTTTAAGTTTAACGTGAAGTTTAAGCATTACCAAATGTAATACTTGAAGATAAAAAAAATTGTGAATAACATTTTTTCACATGCATCTATCAATTAGCAGTACTTCACAACAGTATATACTGTATAACATAAAACATAAGATGATGTCATCCTAGTCTATTTTGTGTCAAGAAGACTGATTGAAAAATACAGTTCCTATGTATACAGATCTCAGGCCCGTGAGACTTTTTTTCAAAGGGGTCAGTTTTTTTCAAAATCGTTTTTTTCTGGAAGTAGTTTAATGATGTCAGAGACCAGAAGGGCGGGTCAAGTGGCCCTAGGGCTAGGGGGCAGCAGGCGGCAGGCCGGGCCACACTTTTTCTGGCAACAGTTGAACAGTTCTGGTCTAGTTATAATCTGTAATTCTCATTCTTGTATTTAGTGTTGAGAAATGAAAGCGCCAGTAACTTCTTACATTATAGCCCCCATCCCCATAAAAAAGAAAAACAAATTTTGTGAAATTTGTTGAAAAAACACTCTAGCAAGTTACAGTTTAAAAATTTTTTGGGCCCCTAAATCCAAAAATTGGGCCAAAATTTTTATACCCTTTCCATTCGTTCGATTTTGCTTCTCAAAAGAGAGCTTCATCTTCACTCTTTCAGTTTTCAATAAATCTCTGAACTCACCGCGCTAATCAGAGTTCATAGTCGAAATAAGGACGACTTTCAATATGGTCATTTTCTCTGGCGTAATCGCATAATTATTCTGCATGCATGTAGCTCGTGTTCATTCCAGCTCGCTGATTGGTTGAGAATGGTCAGCGCGGTAGGTGTGAAATGATTTATGACCCGAGCTGTTAAACTGTAGCAGAGTGTAGTATACAACTAGACTTTGCACGCAGGGTAAAGTTTGGAAAATTTAAGTCCCATTTTAGATCTACGGTTTGGTTACCCCCCCCCCCCACCGTCGTGCGTGAGCCCAGAGACAGGAGCTAGACTCAGACTGGTCTATCATTTTTGATGAAACTGAGTAGTTTTATCAATGATTTCAATTACTAAATACAAGAAATGCTACTTTTTCAAACGACACGGTAATGAAATACAATGTATAGCGCTACCTACCTCGCAAATTGTCCAACAAAAAGATAAGTTCATTCGGCAAGCAAAAAAGCAGAAAATATATATCACGTGACCTGTCAAAACACTGTACGAAATGTTATATTTATGGAATTCCCGGGAAATAAATTCTAAACTGGATTGGGTTGGGATAAGCTAGGGATAAGCTCCCTCAGATATATTCATTGTTTGATAGTCTTTGGTGTTATCGCATCCTACGACCCCTTTAGATTGTGGTCGTAGGCCCGATTCATTAGTAAGCCTGTGTTTCTACAATGTCGGAGAATGAACTATGCATTGCACACATAAATGACCTACCTCGATACATTCCTGAGTATTTTAGAATACTTTTCATATAGTTGAATCGCAAATTGTATGGGTTTATCGGCAGAACGAAGATATTTTCGTTTTTGATAGCAATATTTGCGTGTAGGTTCAACCGTCAAATTCCTCCATTCAGTTCCCGGCATGCACCAGTCATAAGGGAAATCCCCGGGGAATTCCCCTTCCGACATTTTGAAAATTGCTGAGATATTTCCGATGTAAAAACTAAAATCTCTTCGTTCTGACGATAAACCCATACAATTGACGATCTAACAACATAAAAAGAATTTTAAAATACTCTGGAATGTAACGAGGTAGGTCATTTAATAGCGCAATGCGTAGTTCATTCTCCGACATTGTAGAAAGACAGGCTTACGAATGAAACGGGCCTACGACCACAATCTAAAGGGGTCGTAGGATGCGATAATCTTTGGTGCACTCTAAGTGTTTTTCGTATCCCAAAAAATTAGAGGAGATAGAGCCCATATCGAGATTTTCACGTCATTTGATCATTAAGCTTAGCTTCTGATCATTAGCATACTAACGACATAGTAGATGCATGGCGTAGAATAATGGAAATAGCGTCATGAATCCCGGGACAATGAATCTCGGATCCAAGTACGTCATTAATGGTCGAAAATAAAAATATTGACAAATTTATAACCTAAAAGGCCGAAAGATTATGCGGCAAATATTGAAACGGGGGTTGTCAACACATTGTATTAGCTTTGATCTCTTAGAATCCGTTGAATCCTAAGCGATTGGAGTTGTTAAGATCACTTAACGAATGATATGAAATGATGAGGATTTGGCGTTTTTTCAAAGTTTATAATGGCGGCCAATGGGGGATTTTAGCAAAATATCCCGAAAATTAAATCATTAAAAGGCCGAAAGATCTGTGGATGGATTTTGCTGTTTTATATATCAAAATGAACACTTCGTCGGGTCTAACAAGGATCCGTTGAATCCTAAGAAAATAAATCATTTGCATGCTAAAAAGTTATTAAGATTTTAAATTTCGATAACGACTGCTCTCCATTGAAATCTTTTGACCATGAAATGTCGATTTACGCGCATGCGTTGTGACGTTATTTCCATTATTCTACGCTAAGGAGGATTGGAAGCCAGGGTTCCAACTCGATATTCTTTAATCTCCACGCATGCGTCATTTGCTATTCGTGTCCAAGGAGGATTGGCTCCCAGAATGCAACACCGATATTCTGCAAAACAATCACCTAGCGATAGCTTTGTTGGAGAGTATCGGGTCATTCTCCATGCAGTCGTACAAATTATACAGACACGAATAGCAAATGACGCATGCGTGGAGATTAAAGAATATCGAGTTGGAACCCTGGCTTCCAATCCTCCTTGATCCTCCCTTCGGTCGTTCGGGGTACAGAAAACGTTTGTGCCGAGACCAGCGGGGTGTTATTCGAAACTAGAAACCCTGCTCTTTGGTCTATATTTCTTAAATCTCAATGGGACAGCAATAGGACAGAACTCAGTGGATATCAAATAATTAAATAAATGTTAAAATGATCCATCAGGTCAGGGTTAGAAATGATAGATACTAAAAAAGGTCAATTGTGCAAAAAAGTGGCAATCAACTATGGAAATATTTTCTTCCCCCAGAAAATACAGTTTTTTGAGAAAAATCCCTATACTTTACATATAATTGTTCTGAAAAACGGTCAAATTGGCGTGATTCAAATGTAATTTGTGCCTTTAATATGCTTTTGAATCGTTGGGTCAGGGCTAGAAATTAAAGAACTAGACTAATACGTTTACATTAACATTATATTCACCACATTTAATAACTTTTCTTCCTGATGAGTTGCAATTGAGGTCGTTTTTAAAATACGACCCCATTTTCAATGCATAATACAGAATGGGAACATGGGGCAAAACGACCCTGTGGGGCAAAATGGCACACCGAAATATCTTTTGAACTATAAAAAGATGGTTCTTCAAAAGTCACATAATCGAATTTTGAAATTCCAGCCACCTTTTCGACCACCCTCTTTTAACATAGCAGCGTCTCGCCTAAGAGGTATTTCTACTTTTCACTTTCTTTTTACAAATTACCTCTCCCACAAGAATCTCTCCCTTCGCAAAATTCCCCCCAGGTTAATCCTGGTTACGGGCCTGCGTGCCATGCTTTTTGAGCAATTTAGTGGCAGAAAATGAACGGGCAATTTTATAATGTGTTTGCACAATATAGTTTAAAAACACATTAAGCAGACAACTTAAGTTTTCATCTGCTTTCAATAATTAGAATACTTAGGCTTAAAACAATTAATCAAAAATGATCTGAACTGTGACAAACATCATATATGATCTCTCTCTCTCTGACCAGAGGAAGTAAAGTCAACAGGTATTAATTATACTTCATAAGACTTAAGTTTTATTCAATGACCACTCGACCAATATGGATTTCGGTTACTTCCTGCGAAAGTTAAGTTTCAAAATCTAACATGGCTCTCCAAGTGAGTAAGATTTCGGGTGAAGCCAGTCATGAGGCAACGCGGTATATTTTTTCTCGGATGTTTTTTCGACCAAAAATGAATGAATTCCTATTTTTCATTGCAGTTTTAATTTGAATATTTTACTGACATAACGCCTACTTCGAAAGCAAACAGCGATCCGCGACAAATACAATACTGTAAAAGTTTTATGTTTTTTAAACATGCATAGACACAGGCTGGTATCGAAAAATTTGTCCGCTGTGACGGAGCGTGCTATTTTGCATAGAAACAAAAAGAAACCCACACAATTTATTTTTTTACTCATATGTTTCGCTATACCAAAGAAAGTTTCTTACTCCATGCAATGGGTATATCATTTGCGGGTAACTTTAACTTTTGTTTGAAGTCCAACAACGCTAAGAGTAAAAGCTATTGAAAACGGCGCCGGG